GCTTTGCGCCTTTATCGGGGCGACTTTCGCCTTGGCCGCCACTAATCGTACCTTAACCGTTCCGTCGCGGTATCGTAATCGCCAATACGCCGCGGATGCGTACGCACGTTCGCTTGCGTCGCTGAACACGTGGAGCTGACGCTCTACCACTCCCCCCGTAGGAGCATAGCACCTAGGCAGCCGCAGTCGTGATACTTCCTCGACGACTCGCAGCCACCTCTGGAATTCCTCAGCTGCCTCCTCGGGTAGTTCGTCGTCCCATCCGACCTTCTTCATCCGCCACAGGTCTTGCAGCAGGATCTTGGCGGTGATGTTGAGGTAGCTCAGCAGTCCAAGCGGGTCGAAGACCGACATGACTGCACTCAACGCCTCTCTCTTGGTCGGTGGCCTCTGCAGCGTCTTCACCTCGTTCGGTACCCGGTTCATGGATGTGTTAAACGTTAAGGCGTCTTCATTGGCCATCCATAATAGCCCTAGGGTTCTGCCTGGGCTGTCTTGTCTCAAGCCTACCTCCTTAGGCTTGCTCGCTAATAATTCCTCCGGCTTGTCTTCTAGTAGGGCTGCGTGGTTCGAATTCCAGCCCGCTAAGGTGAAGCCGGCCTGCTGGTGGACTTCCGTAACCTGCCTCGCAGTGTTTACCGCTTCCTCTACCGTAGCATAACTGTCTAGGTAGTCATCCATGTAGTGACTACGTACGATAGCGTTAAGTGCCAACGGATGTGTCTCAGCGTGTGCGCGCGCGTTATGATCCCTAACGCTATGTGCGAGAAACGGCGAGCTCCTCGCACCGAAAATCATTGAAGTCATAACGTATTCCCGCGGTGGGCTGGATCGCTCGTTACCTCGCCACAGAAATAATTGCGCGGGTTGGTCGCGACGGTCAATCTTAACGCGTAAGAAGATTTACCTAATATCCGCTGACACGGCTATTTCGTTCTCCCTAAATCTGAACAGTATGCCCGGTAGGTTCCGTAACAAGTCGGGGCCGTCAAGCAAATAATCGTTCAAACATTTACCGGACGCACGCGCTGCCGCGTCGAAAACCACTCTCGTCTTCCCAGGCTTGTTCGGGTTTCGTACTGCGAAGTGGGGCAGGTACCAGCTCCTAGGGTCCTCTTTCTCCGTCCCCTCGGCTTGCGTATCCTTTCGCCAGGAAGTTATCTATTTGTGCGGTATAGGCGTCTCGAAATTCCGGCGATTTGTCCATCTTCCTCTCGATCGTCCGCAGTCTTCTAGCAGCCATCTCGTAGCTAGGAGGCATCCGCACGTCGTCGTCCTTCCATGGCAGTCCCACCTGGTATTGATCGCCGACCTTCTTGACGGTGCGCTGGAATATCTCGACAGCGCGCTCCTCTTCCCGTCGCGGCATATTCCTTAGCGAGATACCGATGGAATCGATCTCGTACTGCCGTTTGAGGAGTTCCGTTATCTCCTCGTCTTGACTCGCGAACGTTCGGATGTCCCTATCTATCCGTCCGCTACTGCTTACGACGTGTAACACGGTTTCACCGTCCTCCCTACACGTGAATCGCGGCACGGTTCCCTGTATCACCCATCCTAATAACGTACGTGCAGCTATAGGCTGCCTTCGACGCCCTATCCTCAAATTACGGGTGATTATTAAATGCCAATTGTCGGCTCCTAATAATAATCTCGGTTTGGCGTCCTCATAGCAAACCGAGCTCGGTAGGTCGCGTAAATGCTTTAGACGTAAACACTCTTTATTTACCGACTGCGAACCTATCTGTAAATTCGTTACTGTACGCGCATTTATTCTATACATCTCGCTGCGCGATTTTCCACGTATGCCTATGTTAACTAGCCTGCTATCGGCCTCGCGCTGACTATTGCTTATTCCCCTAATATTCAGCGGCTTTACCGGTCCTTCCGCTCCTAACTCACGCGCTAAGTCGTCATCGATCAACGAAATAGTCGAACCTTCGTCGAGCAACGCGTACGTGTCTATTTCCTTACCGTGTGGTCCACGTAACGTAATGGGACACACTTTCAACAATACGGATGCATTCCTACCGACGTTAGACGCGACGAGTACGGTCTCATCTGGTTTGGCCGATGTCTCAGGTGCGCGGGTCTTGCGGGTGTGAAGGAGGGCGTGGTGGGGGGCGTTGCAGCCGTCGATGCCGCATTTCTTTGCTTTACATTTAAACCGTCGGTGTTTACTATTTAAACATAGAAAACATACCCCGTCTTCTTTTACCCAATTCCACCGGTCGTCCACACCCATTTGCGCTAACTTCCTACACTTGGCGATCGCGTGTTCACCTCCGCAGCACATACAAGAGGCACTACCGGTGTCCTCCTGTGCGGTGAACGTTTTTACGTCGCGAGCCCTATTCTCTGCGCGGCGTGTCACTATCCTTTTCGACGGCGGCGCCTCTCGTCTTACGGGCGATTCCTTAGTCGGCTCTACGGACGTATAGGCATGACTCAACGCACGATCAGCCTCTCTCATCATGAACCTGGACAGTGTAACGATGTCCGGCTCGTCTGCACTCCCGTAGTGCTCCGCATAATCACACCAACGCGACCGTAAGTGAGGGCTTAACTTACTCGTTACCTCCCTAGTAAGCATTGGATTTTGCAGATATCCCTTGCCGTCGACGTTTTGCAAAATGCACACGATATTTTGAAACTTTATTGCGAACGCATTTAATTCCTGTGCGGTTTAACCCGGGCGCGGAAGGCGTTTCAATTCTTCTAACGCGCGATCGATAATTACTTCTGGGCGGCCGAAACACTGCTCTAATGTTCGCATAATATCTGCTGGATCCTTCGCGGTAAACAGCAGTGCCGATACTACTTCCCTAGCTTCACCGCGTAAGCAATTTCTTAACCTTGCCATATTTTCCGTATCTGTGAATCCATATAGACGCGTGGATTCTTTCATCGCGGCTTTGAACGCTAACCATTCCGCGGCCGAACCGTTAAAAATAGGCAAGTCCTGCGTCTGCTTCGCGGCAGCGGGCCTAACTCTGACCATATTCTCCAGAGCTTCCGCTAGTCGCTCTATACCCCTATCCTTTCCTCGCGGAGTAAGCGACCTATCTCTATCCCTATCTCTCTCTAGCCTACGCTGTGGCGCTGGCGTCCTATGCGCACCTACATCCCTATACGGCGACGATAATCTACGATCCGTGCGGCGATGTGGCGATGGCGATCTACGTACACCTACATCCCTATGCGGCGACGGTGATCTACGATCCGCGTGGCGATGTGGCGATCTATGTGTAGGCGATAGAGTGCGGCGTTGGACGCGCGACGGCGACGTAACCCGTACACGACGATCCACCTGGTTCATTCCTACGGCGACTCCATCTTCCCTCTGTACCGAATCTATGCGGCGCGGTTGAACGTTATTCGCTTCCGTCCTCCCCTGGGCATCTTCACTGTGGTCGTAACCGGTTACCCTGTTCGGTAGGGTCTGCTCTAACTCGATGCGGGGCGCGGGCTGAGAGGGGCGGGAAGGCGACTCCCCCCGCACAGTCTCTACGTTCTCTAACCACCTATCAACGCGTACCCTATTTTCAACTAACTCGTCTTCGTTGACACTTTCCCTATCTGTTTCTTCTTGCAGTTGCGCGACGTCCCTAGCGTACTTCTTCCTAATAAGATCTTCTTCCAACTACAATTGCTTCCTCCTAATTGCAGCTAGTTCCTCCGCGGCGTTATATTCAATTTGCTTTAATTTAGCTATCGCACTAGCCGTCGACCGGGCTAAACGAACGGAGCGAACCGACGGGGCGCGGGGCGCAGGCCTATGTACGTCTGTTACAGGCGCAACGGTACGTACTATCGAACTAATCTCTGTAGACGGAAGATCTTCTATAATCGCGGCGAGTGTCTCTGTACGCGGCGCGGAAATGCTAACCTCTCCCAAACGATCGGTCGTGGACACGGACATAGCGGGGCGCGGCGGCGGGGCGCGGGCGCGGGCGTAGATGCGGGCGCGGGCGGGGCCTGGAGCGCGGGCGCGGCGGAGGGCGCTTGTGCCATCGCGAGATAATCGGACGGGGACGCGGGTGCTTCTTCGAATATGCGCATTCCTACCGGCGTGTCATCATCGTTCCGTGTCTTCTGGCTTCGTGTCTTCCTCATGGTCCCACGTTGCGACCTCCGGTCGTCTTCAAAAAGACGTACGTACAGTCTTTAAAAAGACACACGTATGGATGTCGTTCCCGCCACAAGGGCGTTACCAGATGGTCACAGTTTGGCACCGTTAGGGAGTGACCACTGGCCGCGTAAACGCGGTTAAGAAACAAGAAATTGTCTGGAAACAGACAATAGACGTGTATGACGTAGGCGTAACAAGAAACAGGGAAGAAATTAGTACCGACGATCTTCTCTCTTCGTCGACGAACTTCTTTCTTCCTTGAAGATCTTCTATAATAATCTTCTCTCTTCTGTAATTATGTTCTTTCTTCTATAATTACGTTCTTTCTTCTATAACTGTCTTCTTTCTTGTTTCTTCCTTCTTCTGGCTGCTATCCGGCGACGATGGACCAAGATAAAGTGGATGGAGAGTAGTGGACTGTATTTATACTTTAACTGGCGGTGTGAGGTTAGCTATACTAGGGGACTGCTCGAAGAAAAGATGGTACTTTTAACTATACTATATTCACTATTTACAAAGGGTTCGGCACTATTAACTAAATCACTATTCAAAGAGGGAGGTCTTCAGTATGGAGTCTTCTTCCAGGTTTTCTGTCTTGATTCTTCCTTGTTGTCTTCTCGAGTGCCGCTTCCGAATGAACGCCCACGGCCTAAATCGCCCTTCTTATATTCCCGAGGAGAGCGCTTCATTCCGTGGGGTTATCTGCCCGATGGCAATTTTCGCCGCACGCGCGCTGATTGGTTGCCCGATATCGCGTGATCAGCGCCGGCGTGCGGGGTGCGCGGGACGTAACGGGGAACGAAGGGGCGACGGGGCGGCGGGTCTCTCGCTGTCCGTAACATTCTCCCCCCGGCGTAGCCTTGCGAGCCTAGGCTGCACTCGGGAGGACGGCGATCCTCCTGACCGGCCGCCGCAGCAATCCGCCCCTGGTCCTCACTTCGACGTTCCGTACCACGCCGTCTGGTCCGGGAAAGGTCCTCGTTATAACTCCTCTTGGCCACACGTTCCGCGGCATGGTCCCGTCTGCCACCACGACGAGGTCTCCTTCTTGTACCGGGCGCTGCTGAACGTCCCTTGAGTCTCCGCGCGCAACCAGCGTCGGCAGGTACTCCTTCACCCAGCGCTTCCAGTACTCGTCGGCAAGTCCCTGCGCCGCTCTCCACGCCCGACGATCATTAGGCGTGCACGGCGCGGTCACTGGAAGGCTCGATGGTCCCAGCAGCAAGAAGTGGTTGGGTGTCAATGCCTCTTCTTCGTCGATGTCGACCGGTACGTGCGTCAACGGTCGAGAGTTAACGGTGTTTTCGGCTTCTGTGAGGAGCGTCGCTAATGTCTCCTCCCGTGGGCTCTTCTGATTGAGTGTGGCTTCGAGCGCGGTCTTCACCGAGCGCACGAGACGCTCCCATGCGCCTCCCTGGTTCGGCGCACCCGGCGCGATGAACTTCCAATCCGTCCGCCGAGTCAACGCGTAGTCCTTCAGCAGGGGTGCCCACTCTTCCATCGCCCGTCGTAATTCGGTGTCCGCCCCATGAAAGTTTGTCCCGTTATCCGAGTAGATGACCCGTGGCCACCCACGCCTAGCCGCCATGCGCCGCAATGCCGATATCGCCGAGTCCGTCGTTAGGGAATAAACTATCTCTAGATGTACCGCGCGCGTCGTCAAACAAGTGAATAACGCTATCCACCGTTTTTCATGCTTACGTCCTATTGTTACCGTTATAGGCCCGAAATAGTCGATTCCGGTGTAGGTGAATGGTCGCGCGAATGCCCCTAACCGTTCAGGTGGTAGATCTCCGATAACCGCTGGCCGTGGTGTCGCCTTGCGTACCCTGCACCGCAGACATCTCCGCTCCACTTCTCGTACGGTCGGTCGTAGTCGAAGTATGTGATATCTCGTGCGTAGGTCGTTCACTACCCGTTCCCTGTTGGCGTGGCTTGCTTCCTTATGCGCCTTCTCCACAAGCAGCTTTACAAACTGGTGGCGTCCGTTCAGGATGATGGGCCTCTTCATTTGGCTGTCCACATCGGCTGCGTCAATCCGTCCTCTAGCTCGCAGTACGCCATCTTCGAATATGGGGTCGAGCTTCCTTAACGCGCTGCCGGTTGCCAAGTTCCTTCCTTTCTGCAGTCGACTGATATCTTCAGCAAAACTCTCTTGTTGACTTCGCTCTATCCACATCCGCTCTGCTTTCTGGATGTGGTCCAATGTTAGTCCGTGCGCCTTTCCTCTCATGGCATCGACGAACTGTAATATCCGAGCGGTGGCCCTGACCAATCTCTCGTAAGAAGAGAACCTCTCGATGTCTGGCAGGTGTGGAGCGCCCCTGGTGTCGCTCTGGTGCGCCACGACTTCCTCCAGCTCGTCATCTTCATCCCCTGCCTTCTCTTCCCGTCGTCGAGGCCATCGATCTTCCTCTTCGTACAGGAATGGCGGTCCCGTAAACCATTTGTCGCTCTCTTCCTTGTACGTATAATTAATGCGCGTTGCCTGATCCGCGATGTTGTCTGCGGTCGGTATCCACCTCCATTGCTCGGGTGACGTCTTCTCCGATATCTCCCCTAATCTATGTGCTACGTATGGGGTGTAACGCGCCGTATCGTTTTGAATCCAATGGAGCGCCGTAGTGGAGTCTGTCCAATAAACTACCTTATCGGCTACCACTCTGTGCTCGCCTTGCACGAATTCCGCGAGTCGCGCGCCTATCAGATTCGTCTGTAATTCTAACCGTGGTATGCTTTGCGCCTTTATCGGGGCGACTTTCGCCTTGGCCGCCACTAATCGTACCTTAACCGTTCCGTCGCGGTATCGTAATCGCCAATACGCCGCGGATGCGTACGCACGTTCGCTTGCGTCGCTGAACACGTGGAGCTGACGCTCTACCACTCCCCCCGTAGGAGCATAGCACCTAGGCAGCCGCAGTCGTGATACTTCCTCGACGACTCGCAGCCACCTCTGGAATTCCTCAGCTGCCTCCTCGGGTAGTTCGTCGTCCCATCCGACCTTCTTCATCCGCCACAGGTCTTGCAGCAGGATCTTGGCGGTGATGTTGAGGTAGCTCAGCAGTCCAAGCGGGTCGAAGACCGACATGACTGCACTCAACGCCTCTCTCTTGGTCGGTGGCCTCTGCAGCGTCTTCACCTCGTTCGGTACCCGGTTCATGGATGTGTTAAACGTTAAGGCGTCTTCATTGGCCATCCATAATAGCCCTAGGGTTCTGCCTGGGCTGTCTTGTCTCAAGCCTACCTCCTTAGGCTTGCTCGCTAATAATTCCTCCGGCTTGTCTTCTAGTAGGGCTGCGTGGTTCGAATTCCAGCCCGCTAAGGTGAAGCCGGCCTGCTGGTGGACTTCCGTAACCTGCCTCGCAGTGTTTACCGCTTCCTCTACCGTAGCATAACTGTCTAGGTAGTCATCCATGTAGTGACTACGTACGATAGCGTTAAGTGCCAACGGATGTGTCTCAGCGTGTGCGCGCGCGTTATGATCCCTAACGCTATGTGCGAGAAACGGCGAGCTCCTCGCACCGAAAATCATTGAAGTCATAACGTATTCCCGCGGTGGGCTGGATCGCTCGTTACCTCGCCACAGAAATAATTGCGCGGGTTGGTCGCGACGGTCAATCTTAACGCGTAAGAAGATTTACCTAATATCCGCTGACACGGCTATTTCGTTCTCCCTAAATCTGAACAGTATGCCCGGTAGGTTCCGTAACAAGTCGGGGCCGTCAAGCAAATAATCGTTCAAACATTTACCGGACGCACGCGCTGCCGCGTCGAAAACCACTCTCGTCTTCCCAGGCTTGTTCGGGTTTCGTACTGCGAAGTGGGGCAGGTACCAGCTCCTAGGGTCCTCTTTCTCCGTCCCCTCGGCTTGCGTATCCTTTCGCCAGGAAGTTATCTATTTGTGCGGTATAGGCGTCTCGAAATTCCGGCGATTTGTCCATCTTCCTCTCGATCGTCCGCAGTCTTCTAGCAGCCATCTCGTAGCTAGGAGGCATCCGCACGTCGTCGTCCTTCCATGGCAGTCCCACCTGGTATTGATCGCCGACCTTCTTGACGGTGCGCTGGAATATCTCGACAGCGCGCTCCTCTTCCCGTCGCGGCATATTCCTTAGCGAGATACCGATGGAATCGATCTCGTACTGCCGTTTGAGGAGTTCCGTTATCTCCTCGTCTTGACTCGCGAACGTTCGGATGTCCCTATCTATCCGTCCGCTACTGCTTACGACGTGTAACACGGTTTCACCGTCCTCCCTACACGTGAATCGCGGCACGGTTCCCTGTATCACCCATCCTAATAACGTACGTGCAGCTATAGGCTGCCTTCGACGCCCTATCCTCAAATTACGGGTGATTATTAAATGCCAATTGTCGGCTCCTAATAATAATCTCGGTTTGGCGTCCTCATAGCAAACCGAGCTCGGTAGGTCGCGTAAATGCTTTAGACGTAAACACTCTTTATTTACCGACTGCGAACCTATCTGTAAATTCGTTACTGTACGCGCATTTATTCTATACATCTCGCTGCGCGATTTTCCACGTATGCCTATGTTAACTAGCCTGCTATCGGCCTCGCGCTGACTATTGCTTATTCCCCTAATATTCAGCGGCTTTACCGGTCCTTCCGCTCCTAACTCACGCGCTAAGTCGTCATCGATCAACGAAATAGTCGAACCTTCGTCGAGCAACGCGTACGTGTCTATTTCCTTACCGTGTGGTCCACGTAACGTAATGGGACACACTTTCAACAATACGGATGCATTCCTACCGACGTTAGACGCGACGAGTACGGTCTCATCTGGTTTGGCCGATGTCTCAGGTGCGCGGGTCTTGCGGGTGTGAAGGAGGGCGTGGTGGGGGGCGTTGCAGCCGTCGATGCCGCATTTCTTTGCTTTACATTTAAACCGTCGGTGTTTACTATTTAAACATAGAAAACATACCCCGTCTTCTTTTACCCAATTCCACCGGTCGTCCACACCCATTTGCGCTAACTTCCTACACTTGGCGATCGCGTGTTCACCTCCGCAGCACATACAAGAGGCACTACCGGTGTCCTCCTGTGCGGTGAACGTTTTTACGTCGCGAGCCCTATTCTCTGCGCGGCGTGTCACTATCTTTTTCGACGGCGGCGCCTCTCGTCTTACGGGCGATTCCTTAGTCGGCTCTACGGACGTATAGGCATGACTCAACGCACGATCAGCCTCTCTCATCATGAACCTGGACAGTGTAACGATGTCCGGCTCGTCTGCACTCCCGTAGTGCTCCGCATAATCACACCAACGCGACCGTAAGTGAGGGCTTAACTTACTCGTTACCTCCCTAGTAAGCATTGGATTTTGCAGATATCCCTTGCCGTCGACGTTTTGCAAAATGCACACGATATTTTGAAACTTTATTGCGAACGCATTTAATTCCTGTGCGGTTTAACCCGGGCGCGGAAGGCGTTTCAATTCTTCTAACGCGCGATCGATAATTACTTCTGGGCGGCCGAAACACTGCTCTAATGTTCGCATAATATCTGCTGGATCCTTCGCGGTAAACAGCAGTGCCGATACTACTTCCCTAGCTTCACCGCGTAAGCAATTTCTTAACCTTGCCATATTTTCCGTATCTGTGAATCCATATAGACGCGTGGATTCTTTCATCGCGGCTTTGAACGCTAACCATTCCGCGGCCGAACCGTTAAAAATAGGCAAGTCCTGCGTCTGCTTCGCGGCAGCGGGCCTAACTCTGACCATATTCTCCAGAGCTTCCGCTAGTCGCTCTATACCCCTATCCTTTCCTCGCGGAGTAAGCGACCTATCTCTATCCCTATCTCTCTCTAGCCTACGCTGTGGCGCTGGCGTCCTATGCGCACCTACATCCCTATACGGCGACGATAATCTACGATCCGTGCGGCGATGTGGCGATGGCGATCTACGTACACCTACATCCCTATGCGGCGACGGTGATCTACGATCCGCGTGGCGATGTGGCGATCTATGTGTAGGCGATAGAGTGCGGCGTTGGACGCGCGACGGCGACGTAACCCGTACACGACGATCCACCTGGTTCATTCCTACGGCGACTCCATCTTCCCTCTGTACCGAATCTATGCGGCGCGGTTGAACGTTATTCGCTTCCGTCCTCCCCTGGGCATCTTCACTGTGGTCGTAACCGGTTACCCTGTTCGGTAGGGTCTGCTCTAACTCGATGCGGGGCGCGGGCTGAGAGGGGCGGGAAGGCGACTCCCCCCGCACAGTCTCTACGTTCTCTAACCACCTATCAACGCGTACCCTATTTTCAACTAACTCGTCTTCGTTGACACTTTCCCTATCTGTTTCTTCTTGCAGTTGCGCGACGTCCCTAGCGTACTTCTTCCTAATAAGATCTTCTTCCAACTACAATTGCTTCCTCCTAATTGCAGCTAGTTCCTCCGCGGCGTTATATTCAATTTGCTTTAATTTAGCTATCGCACTAGCCGTCGACCGGGCTAAACGAACGGAGCGAACCGACGGGGCGCGGGGCGCAGGCCTATGTACGTCTGTTACAGGCGCAACGGTACGTACTATCGAACTAATCTCTGTAGACGGAAGATCTTCTATAATCGCGGCGAGTGTCTCTGTACGCGGCGCGGAAATGCTAACCTCTCCCAAACGATCGGTCGTGGACACGGACATAGCGGGGCGCGGCGGCGGGGGCGCGGGCGCGGGCGTAGATGCGGGCGCGGGCGGGGCCTGGAGCGCGGGCGCGGCGGAGGGCGCTTGTGCCATCGCGAGATAATCGGACGGGGACGCGGGTGCTTCTTCGAATATGCGCATTCCTACCGGCGTGTCATCATCGTTCCGTGTCTTCTGGCTTCGTGTCTTCCTCATGGTCCCACGTTGCGACCTCCGGTCGTCTTCAAAAAGACGTACGTACAGTCTTTAAAAAGACACACGTATGGATGTCGTTCCCGCCACAAGGGCGTTACCAGATGGTCACAGTTTGGCACCGTTAGGGAGTGACCACTGGCCGCGTAAACGCGGTTAAGAAACAAGAAATTGTCTGGAAACAGACAATAGACGTGTATGACGTAGGCGTAACAAGAAACAGGGAAGAAATTAGTACCGACGATCTTCTCTCTTCGTCGACGAACTTCTTTCTTCCTTGAAGATCTTCTATAATAATCTTCTCTCTTCTGTAATTATGTTCTTTCTTCTATAATTACGTTCTTTCTTCTATAACTGTCTTCTTTCTTGTTTCTTCCTTCTTCTGGCTGCTATCCGGCGACGATGGACCAAGATAAAGTGGATGGAGAGTAGTGGACTGTATTTATACTTTAACTGGCGGTGTGAGGTTAGCTATACTAGGGGACTGCTCGAAGAAAAGATGGTACTTTTAACTATACTATATTCACTATTTACAAAGGGTTCGGCACTATTAACTAAATCACTATTCAAAGAGGGAGGTCTTCAGTATGGAGTCTTCTTCCAGGTTTTCTGTCTTGATTCTTCCTTGTTGTCTTCTCGAGTGCCGCTTCCGAATGAACGCCCACGGCCTAAATCGCCCTTCTTATATTCCCGAGGAGAGCGCTTCATTCCGTGGGGTTATCCGCCCGATGGCAATTTTCGCCGCACGCGCGCTGATTGGTTGCCCGATATCGCGTGATCAGCGCCGGCGTGCGGGGTGCGCGGGACGTAACGGGGAACGAAGGGGCGACGGGGCGGCGGGTCTCTCGCTGTCCGTAACATAACTATTGTTTGTATATTAGATTTTAAATCAATTAATGCTTTTCTGATCGTTTTTAACTTCAGAAAACATCGCGGCTATGCTACTCCATGGTGTCTTTACATCTAAAACAAAACAATATTCTTGTCCGAAATCAGCTACGATAAGTATGTATCGGAAATGACAATAGGAGATCCCACTTCTGTAGTCGGAGAATTCAACAGGAGATCCCAATTTTGATCTCGGAAATACATCAGGATAGCGTTAACTGTTAAAAATAAAAAGTGTGAGAGCGGATGTTCAACTTACTCTCGTGCTTACGCAATTAATCATTATCAGTAATAAGACAACGTAACGCACTATACATTCAGTATAGTGAAATTACAGTTCGACCACACCGTAACACGTCTTCGCCACAATTACACACCAGTGTAACGTGAGGTACGTAATTACATGATAACACCAAAATATGTAAACCGACAGCAACACTACTTATCTCAATGTAACACAGGATAGCCTCTCAGCAACACCAATTCTCCTTGCCTGCACTAGAAGAATTACAACAATGAACAGAACCACGACACTATATTAGCACTAGTAGAACGACCACACTCGTTGAATGACTTAGGTGGAATCTCTCTCGCACGGCACCTACAGTGAACTTTATACTACCGACACAAGAGGGGGTTTCTCGATATACCCTCCATTCTACCTCGATCCAACCGGATA